GAGTTTAAAGACACTGTGGAAATCTTATTTACTCCATAAGGACTACCTGACCACCTTTAAAATACTACAACCTCTCCCCCCAACCCCAAAAAAACCTGGCACATCCTCTCTTTACCATGCCATACTTTTTCCATGGCACTTAAACTGTCTTTTAATATAACATGATTTATTTTTTTCGTTTGTTGTTTATTGTCTGTTTTCTTCTTCTAAACTGTAAGCATCATAAGGGGAGAAATCTTTCTTTTGTTCACGGAGATATCTCAAGTGCCTAAAATAATCCCTGCCATATAGTAATAAGCACACAATAAATATTTGTTGAGCAAATGAATGAATATATAAGTGACATGCAACAGAACCAAGTAAGTTGTACCAGACAGCCACCCTACAGTGAGATCTCTAAAATTCTTGTATTTTAAGACAAAGGTGAGAAGATGAAGGTTTTATGACTTCTGGTTAAAAATGGCAATTGAACACTCACATTTTTCTTTGTTCCCTCCCAAAAATCCAACTAAAATGACAGTAAAGAAAAAAATAAGTATTAACTTAAGAGGACAAAGAGAATGAAAAATGATATAAGCAGTAAATAAGGATGTCAATAGCATTTTAGAAATTTTAATTTAAATAAGTGGAGAATGTTGAAACTAAAACATCTGCAGAGGAGGAAGCCAATAATCAACAAGCCAATTCAGCCATAAAACCCTGGAAGACTTAGGAATTGAAGTTATCAGGTACCTCTGAAATTGAAGGGTAGGGCTAAAAATAGGGTTGGTTGAAAGTCTGTAAAAGGAGCAGATCTCTCCTAGCCTATATGGACAGGTGCCTACCCTTCCATTAATTTGGCAGAACATAAGAGGTTTATTTTCTAGAGTTACAGTCAGGGAAAAGAGAGTTAGGGTCAGGCAGATAAGGCACCACACTGACAGCAGGAGCATTAAATAAAAGTTTTGAAAATTGGATGGTGTAATCTGCAGTTCTCCCAGAAAGCTGGCAGCCAGTCATACAAGTTTCTGGCAAGAGATGGAAAGACTCCTCTGTCAGTAACTTCATAAGCCTCCAAAAACAGACATAGAGATATGGACATTTGGGAGCTAACACAACATAAGATATTTTGATAAGAGTAGAAATACCTTTATATTCAAAAACCAGATTGAAACAAATACTTACATAACCAACATCAGGTCGGTAACATGTATATGCCCCTAAGATACTATGTAACACATCGTGATATGGACCACCCTTAGGAGAGAAAAATGAAATTTGAAACTATACAAATAATTGTCTCTAAGTTAATTCTCATATTACATGTTAAAAAACTACAGTATTTCCTAAATGACTAGCTTTAACATATTTAACAATTGCCAAAAATACTGTAAACACCCTCTGGCAAGATGTTTTTCAAATTATTAATGGGAAACATTTAATTCTGAACAAAAATAGCCAAATAAATTCACGTGATGGATACAAGCTATATGCATATAGTTTGCAAACAATTTTAAAGACTTCTGGATTTTCTACAATAAGAGTATGATGACTATAGACTCTTTTTTTTTTTTTTTTTTTTTGAGACAGAGTCTCACTCTGTTGCCCGGGCTAGAGTGCCGTGGCTTCAATCTAGCTCACAGCAACCTCAAACCCCTGGGCTCAAGCGATCCTCCTGCCTCAG